CTTTAGTTAAATTTTGAGGACTTTTACCAAACGTGGACTAGTTACAAATCTGGATTTGGAACCGGGTCTCCAAAATCGCCCCTTCTTTGAATTAACTAATGAAATAGAGAGATACAATAATTTATTATGCTATATAAACTGAATTTACATTTTAAGAAATTAATCATGTGCTCTTTTATGAGGTATGACAGAATTTACCAATAATAATAATTAATACAAGGAAGCCCAATAAACTGAAATATTACTACTAACATATATATCTCACCTCAACTCAATTCTTCTGGATATCAGTGATATCATCACTCTAACAATAATGCCAAAACTTTATATACTGTTATCTAGTACAAATAGTTGAATTGTGGTTTCATACTTACAAATGTCGTGCAACCTAATGTTTATGTTACAAGGAAACGGTAGGAACATTATTTTACTTTTCTCTACAAATATATGTTTGACTTCGTGATATAATAAAAAAAGAGACTTTGAAAGATATTAGAATTAACAATGTGTGTTCATATTACTATAGCCTTCATTCTTCTAACTTAGACTGTTTTTTGTTTTGGACATTTCAAACTTCTTCTGGATCACCTACCGTTCATCCTCCCCCTACAGTCTCCATATCACAGTATACAGAGATTGGGTGGTTCAGAAAATGTGGCCATATCTTGAAGACGCCGTTTGTTTGGTTTACTTGATGATAGATAGCGGCACAGTCTATCGGTAAAGAAGTTCTATACCTGATTTGTGTTTCATTGGTACAGGTGGGCGCTATGAAGTGATACACGTCGTGTTTAGAACAAATAGGGCCTGGAATAGAACGGGTAGTAAAGTATAATTATAAATTTATATGAACATTCATTCAAAACTTGAAAATGCTTACCAGTATACTAAAATCAGTGACAGTTCTTTTCATTAACGTTATCTTACATTAATACGAAAACGTTTTTTTAAAGTAATTAAATTTTAAAGGAATGTATTACCTTCTAATGTAGTAATTCTTTGTTTAGCCAGATCTGTTAATTCTTCCACAGTAGACGACAGAGAATCGATAATTTCTTCCAGTGAACCAACAGTATGACAAAGCAGTGTGGTGATGAACATTAGCCTGGGTTAAAAAGAAGAGAGACAAAATACATGGTAATTGAACTATATAATACATGATGTATACTGAGCTGTATTCTTCTCTGAGGATTACAGTACGTGCCAAGGCTTTTATTGCCGTCGTAGAGAGGAAACATGATATCTGAAGTAAAGCTTTATGACGTCACTATATATAATGATCAGAAGTTGTTGAAAACTTGGACCTGGCTGAAATGTGACTTTTCATCTTCACTTCTATAGTACAACAAAGGAGCTCTTGTCTTTATAGATCTATACGTCTATTGGTATATTTATGTTTGATTAACCTTGAATTCTACTTGATTCCATCAAGGCCAATGATGGGAATGTTTTTTAAACATAAAACCTTTAAAATGTTTGTATTT